ATCCATACATTCACCCGTTTCTCATGCCCTGCGTGTGGGGTTCTGCTGTTCCTTCTCCACGCCGCTTCCTGTGCGTCTCAGTCCGACTCGAGGTCTAGCCTAGTCTCGGTCAGTCTTGGATCCGGGAGCAAAGAAGTGGAAGCTGGCGTAGTGGCTGGCAGGGACACCAGCTGTGGCCCTCTTACCCCGAGGGCCCTCGGAGGATCCGTCTCTATTGCGTATTCGGTCTGCGCTGGCGTAGAAGAGACCAGGACAAGGTCATGAAGAGCAGTTACAGATAAGAGGATGGCATTCAGTCCATCGGGCGGGCTGAGACTAAGGTATCTCCACCACACCAAAGGCAAGGGAATTAGATTCCTTTTTCTCCGTGACGGCATAAGAAAGGATTCAGTAGGGAACTTTCATGGGAGAATGTGTCACATTATGATACTGTGTACCTGTCTGGCAGAATTCCTTATGCAGGGGGGGCTTATATTGGGTAGAAAGTTTAATATGCAGTGTAGGCACAGAGGAAACAAACTGTTCCAGGCAAATACAATAAAATACATTTGCAAGGGAAGAATAATAATGTGGGGAGCTGCAGAACAATACCGCTATCCACAAGAAAAACCGAATGGGATTTGTTAGGTCTCTGCCAAAGAAAAGTGAACTCCTCTCAGAACCCAAGCGCATTCTTAGTACAGTACGGTTCTATTCCAAGCAAATCCGAAGGGATTGAGTGTCGATTGCGTTGTGATTATTGAGCAACACCACCCACTAGGTAGACTTTTGAAAGTAGCCATCAAGCACTCTCATTGTGCTTTTCTCTTCCAGGTTTAAAATGAAGGAATAAAAGCGACCCTGTAAAAACAGGTTCTGTCTGTTGATCTGATTAGGGTTCTGATAGACCCTTTATCCCACTTGTGCTTAATACTGCATGCCGTTTCAACCCTGAGCTGCTTTGTTCCGGACTGCAGAGCAGTGAAGTCTTTCCATCTCGGAATCGTGAGCGATTAACTGGACTGCTACCACCCCCCTCTGGGGCTCAGATTTTAAAGCTTTAGAATCGATGCTGTTGCTGTGTTGGTAGTGGTGTGGTACCGGTTGCTGTGCCCTGTAATGGCCAAGAACAGAACGGGGTGTGCATGGGTGCATTGTTGTCGTACAGAGCTCTGATGTCCAGTGGTCTCTGGCTGAGATACGAGAGGCGGGCATTACGTTTCCACTGTCTAGAGTGGAGTTTTCCTCCTCGATTTGATGAGTCTTGGATGGCATGGTCCTGTACTGTACGTGCAGGGTTGCACGTCATCCTGTCGTAGTAGAAGTTTGCTTTTTCACCCACTCATGTAAACCTCAGACGAATGGGACTTGATTAAGTAGTACTGTATGCTATGCATGGGCCATCAGTCATGATTTTTCAAAGACGCCGTTAGTACTTGTTAGATCTCTCAGCTGACTTGCTCTGAAAACCAAAGATTTTTATCTTTCCACACTCTAATCAATCTTGAAAAAAACATTTAAAAAATCCATTAAGGACTACTATAAATACATGCACCCTAATTTGTTCTCCAAAGCAGCGCTCTTAAAACAAAAACTGTGCTCCGTACCATTTGGGAACAATTTGAATTCTGGGAAAGGGATCCAACGTTTCACTCAACGACAACAACAACCAACAAAAAAAAAAAGTTGAGCTCAGACGAAAACTATTCTGCCCACGACAACAGTCACGCAACTCCTGAAGAATCTGGATCTGGATTTTTGCATTTTTGAAAATATTCATCAGGCGGGGTGCGTGCTTTGAATGCCAAATTAGTCCTGTTGTGCTGCTTACCAGATAAAAAAAAATGAAGTCATATTGGGCTTCCTGTCAGGTTTGTTGGATTAATATTCCAAGTATCTAAAGATCACGAACTGTCCTCCATGTCAAATTGTAGTATTGGCAGCTAACCACTGCCTTTTAAGAAAGCCATAAGCCCAGAGGAGGATAGACTCTCCATTTTGTGCCTTGATTTCTTCCTATTTTAATCTCGGGGAGTTTTTCCTTGCCACTGTCGTCTTAGGCTCGCTCACTGGGGGTTCAGGCCCAGAAATCTGTGAAGCTGTTTTGTGACAATGTCCATTGTAAAAAGCACTATACAGATAAAACTGAACTGAACAGTCCATGATCAACATGTGGGCCTTATGGGGTGAGTGGAGCTTAAGCCAAACAAAGTGAAATAGCTCTCTGCTTGCTTCCGGCAAGTTCTGTTTTTTTTTTCCACATACAGCTAGAGAGAGACTGACACACAGACTGAATTCTGCAGTGAGTTTCGTGTTGCTAAATTCCTGCATTTCGTGTGCTCTGACCCCAGGTTTGTAGCGATTTGTGGCCCCCAGTTCATTCCTGCTCATTGCGCAACCTTTTTATAACGACGGTTTTACTGTTTTGGTGAGGGTTACCAGAGTGAGCAGAAAAGTACAGAGGAGGGGAAGGGAGAAGGGCAGTTGGATACATCTGGCCTCTTGAAATGATCAGGAGAAATCCTTATTTTTGACAGTCCGCCCATCCCCGCAAATGCGCAGCACCTCTGGTTTTGCAGACTTCTCGGGACAGGAGCTATTTTTAAATCCTTCAGAGTTTCTTGCCCTGAATGGCGAGTGGTTGATGTCGGATCTGAATCCAAGGCTTCCCTCCTGAAACGGAGAGAAACTCGAGGAATAGTCTGCATTGTCCACTGTCTACTACATACAACTGCGAACCACAGAAGTGCAACGTTAATCGGAGCGTCATTATACCGTCATAAAGACAGGTCCGTGTGTCTAGGCTGCAAAGGAACAAGGTTCTTTCCATTCTGAAAAGAGAAAAAAGCCGACAACGTTTTGTCTGGAGCCTTCTTCAGGTGTGTCACACAACGAAACGTTGTTTGTGTTCTTGTCTCTCCAGCATGGAATAAACCTTTACTTGTTCCTGTTGTAAAGATGTTGATGTTCGCTGTAACTTTCTTATTAAACAAGACACTGTGCAATATTAGAGTTTAATTTTTTTAACGTTGTGGCAAGGCTATCTTGGATAAGAACGAAACACTTTAATCTTCAAACTTGTACTTGGTGGTCATTACCCATCTTTATTGTGGAAATTGGAGAACCGCCTGGTTTTGAGGCAGGTGCAGTTGGGTTAATATTGATCCCAGCCTCTTTGAGGATTTCTCCTCCTCGTCTCATTGGGTCACTGGAGAACATCTTTCTGTTCAATCTGCATCTCTAGGCTTTTCCTCTGCCTGTGGGTTTTGCCTGCCTGTGCAGTTAGACTGGGAAAGAGGAATCAATTTCCTCCCCCCGACCCCTTCCCAGTTTCCTGGTTCGTGAAGAAAAAGGTTTGCTTTGGGTTCAGTCCAGAGCAGAGCAGGCTTGAGGTCTCAAGACCCATGAACCTAACCAAGTTTGTGAAGATGAAACGGTTGCACACAGTTTAATTATATCAGGGGTGCATGAGCTGGATTGCAAAATGATTTATCAAGTTGCAGCCAAAGTACGTAAAAGCGATATTTTTTTTAAATCTGTATTCAAGAAATATAGTACATGACATCTTCACATGTCATGGTGCTTAAGGAAGAATTTGGGCTCTACACCCTTATAAATGTTTACTGCACAGTACAGTGCAGTAAGGCCCAGTAAAATTGGGGTAAAAGCACAGTACAGTGTAATACAGCCCAGTGAGATCAGTGTAAAAGCACAGTACAGTGTGATACAGCCCAGTAAGATCAGGATAAAGGAGCTGTCAAGGGCGGCTTAGCCCAGTGACATATGGTAGAGGGTGATGCCAACTGGGGGGGAAACAATGTCAAAACAAACATGGTAAAATCTGCTAGAATGCCTTCCAAAATTCACCACATCAAGCTAGGACAGGCGTGATTAGATATGCAAACTTGATTCCAAGAGATGGAGATGGCGAGATACAGTGCTACTTGCGTTTTTACCAAGGCAGAAAAGGGAAAGATTAAACTTTCATGTTCTCTGTTCAGGCAAGCTTCCTTTGTTTTTCTCATTCCGCGGAGAAAGAGATAGGAGGAGAGGAGAAAGTGGCTGAGGGGCACAGCGCTTTAATAAACCCCGACTGACGCGTTCCAACAGGCTTCAGCAAAGCTGTGCGGTTAATGCACAGCAAGATTTATTTCTCCAAACATCTCCCAGCTTATCCCGATCCAGTCTCCCGAGCGAGAGCGTTATTCAGTTTCTCTTTCTCCTCAAATGACCGCTTTGATACTGTGCGCTGAGGAGGAGTGCAGTGAAGCCCGTCGGAGAGCAGGATGGCTTTTCCTGCCTTTCGAAAGACGCGGATGTTGAGGAGGATGTGATTCCTGTATCATGAGACTCGTTGAAGGATTTGATGGCTGTTCTTAAGGCTAAGTGACCTGAGGGCATGAGCATGCTTTGGAAAAGCCAAGGCATCATTGGTGAGGTTTACTGTGCTGCCAGTGTACGCTCCTGGATTTCCTCCTTTCTGTCGGTTCAAACTTTTGCCCTCCAGATGCATGAGTTTGCATGAGTTCTGGGGGGAAGGGGTGCTTTACTTATTCGATGAGACTTTGGCACGGACACAAGTTTTTCAGCCGGCCTCATGTTGCGCATCTACGGTACCTGCCTCCGGATAAAGTCCTCCAGCCACCGAGGCGCACCGTGTCGGCCGCGGGCGTCGTCCTGTCGCCAGCGCCGCTGTGGCGCGCGGGCCCTGCGAGGAGGAGCGGGGCGTGAAAGGGGATGAGCGTCCCATCCAGGCTGGTGCTGCTGGGAGTTTAATAAACAAAAAGACAGCTGAATGTGACGGCAAACGGCTGTGACAGCAGAGCCGTTGGCGGGGAGGGTGGGGGGAGGCAGGCGAATTTGCGGCATTGCGTTGGCCTGTGAAGGTCTCCAGTTCGGGCTAAGAGCTAGTGTGCAGAATGGGCTTAAATTGAGAGCAGATTTGCTAAGTTTAGTCCACGTATGTTTGGGCCACACTTGGTGCAGAATCTCATTACTGTTCTTTTTTCCCCCCCCTTTAGGTTGTGGCGGGGAATTAAATACACTGATCGCCCTGAATCCGATTAGGCCTTTTGTCTGGATCAGCTGACTGCGACCCTGCAGTATAATAGGCTGTGTGATCTGAAGCCAAGGTAAGAGGTCTGGCTGGGGTTTCGGGAGGGGAGGGGCCCCATGATTAACCCTTCCTTCCTGCTCTGTCCTGCAGCTTTGCGTATTGCTCTTGTGCTGTTCATGCATTCCCCCTCCCACAGTGTCTGTCATCGTTTAACGAACTTCAGGATCTAGAGGCTGTGCGACCCACAGCCGACGCACAGCGGTACAGGTTGCGCTCTTGAAAGCACAAGCGACACATTTGGTTAAAGTGAGGCGTTTGAAGTTTTTGTTTAGCATTCGTTTTTGTTCCGGGGACAGGTTGACAAGCATTCCTCCGACACCCCAGCTTAGGTGCCGGGTAGAGTCCTTGGCTGTCGTTCAGAATAGCACAGATCCAAGCTGACACCGCATGCCCCTTGCCCGCTGTGTCCCCACGCTTACAGGGGGCGAGGCCGAGACCCCCCCCCCCAACAGCCCCTCTCCATCCCCAGCCAAAGTGCTTTCCCCCGTGTGACGCGCGCTGGATGCCAGCCCAGATTTCGAGGAGGCAAGCTGCTCCAAGCGCGCCAGGTTTCAAGCAGGCCGAGGGCATGTAGCATGAAGAGTGCCTGCCTGTCTAACGCAACGATATGAAGGGCCTACAGCCCCGGCCTTGGAGCGCTGCCTTCGTTCAGGGTTTTTGTGCCCTCTCGCATCCTCGTGACTTAATTGAACCAATCGACCGGAATAAAAGCCCATTCTGCTGGTTTTTCCTGGTCTTAACGAGGTGTGAGTGAGAAGATGCCTCAAGCGGCTGCTGGAACCTGGCACTTGAGGGGCAGGGCTGCCAGCCACTGGCCCGTATGTCAGCTCGGAGTGAAGCCATGAAGGGATTGAACGGGGCCCCTCTGGATGGTTAGCACAGCCTTGGGTTCTGAAATGATTTTCCTGCGCGTGGCTCCCGAGTGGCATCACCAGTGACGGTTCTGCCACGGCGCACTGGCTGAGCTCGGTGGCCTGGTTGTCACGGGTTCGAGTCCGGGCCCATGCCTCTTGCGGGCGGCGACCAGAACTCCCAATTTAACGGCGCTCTCCCAGTGGGGACTCTCGGCTTCTCGGCAAATGACGGGTCCTGCGCCCCTCTGTGCGCTGGCGGTGACGTTGGCGGGGCGCAGCAGGGTGCTCCTTTCTCTAACTTGCTGTGTGCCAGGCGGAGCGCAGCTCCACCGGTCACATGGCCGCAGAGTGGGAGCTGAGAGCCAGCTGCGTGCCACACGGGTCGCTTGATGACCAGCCAAGTCTTCATCTTTAGAATCGATGACAGTTGTTTTTCTTTCGCGAGTCATACAATAAAAACAATATTGGTGATTCCAGTTGTTTTTAATTTTAAACAAAAACGCAAGCCACCCTGCAGGGGGTCAAGAACCCATCAGAAATGTGAGCTCGAACACTTTTTGATATGTGGCCAAATCAGGCATAAGAGTTACAGTGCAGGACTGCTGATGATTAAACAAACAGGTTTAAATATATATTTTTTTTTCCACATTTAAGGATTGCATTTCCATTTTCTGGAAAGAAAGGGGTTGTCAAAGCCATTAAAACAGATTTAAAAGCATCTCCAAATCTTACTTTTCATTGGATGGCAAGTTCGCCGACAACCTGGGTTGCAAAGTCTGGGCCCTAATTAAAAACTTTTCCTCATCCCCGGTTACGGCGTGAGTCATACCCGTCTCTTTCCGAGGTTCACTGATGATCACGCCTTTGTCGCATTTTGTTTTGAATTCCTTATAAATAAACAGTTCTTTGAAGTCGGACATATTTTTAGTATGGTAGTATTCTTGTCTCAAGAGGTGCTGTAGTCGAATCAAGCAAATCAAGAGGTACTGTATTAACAGTTTTTTTCCGGATTATTATTTATGTGGTTTACTGGAAAACACTTCATGAGTAATGCCTCTGAGGTTTGTTAAGGGAGGGATGTAGGGTGTAGATTTTGTTTCTTGTATTAAGTTTTCAGTGCAGCATACACATCTTTTTATACACCGATTTTCTTCTTATGGGAGACAAGTACTCTGTTGTAATTAACCCTGATTTTTTTTTTGAAGTGGTAGTTATTGTTCCTTTTATTTTGGGAATGTCCTTGGGACTGCAGTTGCCCTTTCATTTCTCAGACTGGTTATTAAATCTCAAATTAATTAAAGATATCGCACCGTTTCACAAATTCCAAATTTGAGTCGCTGGTCTGTCAACAGTTGAGAGCAGGAGTTGGCGTGAACTTCCTGCTCACTAGTCACTGTGAAACAGTCTCCTATTAACGTTTTATTATTATTTGTGTATTTTAGCTGGTGGGCAGGTTCCTCTTTTTGCAAAGTATCTAACAAAACATCGCCTAGTACGTGTTGGTTTGATGAGAATATTTACTTCTAGTATAGTAGCAAAACACCCGTGGTCTAATAGGGCCCTTTTGTGTCATTGGAGGTTTTGTGGCCTCGTTCTGAAGCGTCGAAACTTCGTCTCTTTTGTGATGTAGATTGGAGGTTGTACACAGCACCGTGTGCTTGGTAGTTTCATTTTGGTTTGAAATGCACTCATCGTGGCCAATTCATCATAACCCCAAAATGGAAAATAGCATTGCACTTCCCCTTTTAATAATTAGCTCTAGAGGATTGGTTGATTGTTGTTGTTGTTGTTGTTGTTGTTGTTTGGATCACAGAATCTGCTCGATTCGGTCTGATTTATTTTTTGTGCTGACCTTCGGATCCAGCTGTAATTCTCCCAGGTAATCATGTATTGTAAGTAATAACACGGCAGGGAACCCACTGAAGTGAGCCCCCGCCTGAGTGACACGCAGCAGATCTTGGGGGCAGGAGAGAGAAACTGCTGCACCAGGGGAATTAAGGGTGGACTTGAGGGAGGACAGACTGTACAGCCCAGAGTGGAGCTTAGGAAATGAGTTCACATTATCTTGATGACCGAGTATTCAGGACCTGAAAGACGGTGCCTGCTCCAGTCTCCCTAGTCGCCATGCTGAGGCATGGGTCTGCTCTTACAGGTGAGCCGCCCTTAGAGCATGCTCGCTTGCGTTCATTTGCAGGGACTAGTTACGTTTTCCTTCCTTGCATAAACGGTGAGACTGGGGTAAGAGCCTTAAGAACTTGTTTAATTGGCTCCTTTTTGCAGTATGTGAACTTGCAATCTTTATACAGTATGTGGTTTTTTTTGCATTTGTTGGATGCTTTGTTCTGCACTGGCCATCCTCTTCTTGTATGTGTTGTAGCAGGAGGTGGTTTTAGCAGTGCGAGATCTGAACCGAAAACCAATGGGCCTAGGCTAGAGAGGAACTGAGCTCTCCTGCTGAGCAGCAGTCTGAGGAGTGAGGCCCTGACCAGAAGATGGGAGAGGGTTCTGGGTTCTCATGCAACAGCCAGGGTTTCACAGATCTCGTTTCCCTTTACTGTGCAGGTGTTCAATAGGCTCTGGCCGCGTTACTGAAGTGAGTCAGCCCACTGGGTTTTCCAGTTATGTGAAAATAACAGTTTGAATGAAAAGCGGTTCCCGTGTTCAAGTTGCAAACAAGAAGAGGACTTGTGGCCCATTTGGTCCAGCTCATTTATTTTTTCAGTAGCTAGATCTCATCCAGCTGTTTCTTAAAAAGAGGTCAGGGCTTTAGTTTGGTAAGGGCCAGCAAATACAGTTTCCATCCATTATCGGGAACAAGCGACTTCCTGACAGGGGTCATGGGAACAGGAGCCTGTCCTGCAAACACAAGGCAGGACTCTACCCGTGATAGGACATCAGTACAGTATCTGCTAATAAGGCCACCCAGCTGGTCCTGTTTGTATGTTGACAGTCCTGTTTTTCAGAAGCCCCATATACTTAACAAAAACTTTTTTTATCCTGTTTTCGAGTTCCTATCCAGTGTTACGTACACATCTGTGCTCACTGCTATGGGCTTCCCTGTAAGGTGGCGCCACCACACCAGTGCATTGCCCTGCGTGTTCTGGTCACCGTGGCGTCATTAATGCAGGGAAGCTGGGATTCGGGCCTCGCATCCTCCCATTTAGTCATGAATCCTTACTAATTCGGGGGAGGGTGAGATCTTCGATAAACACGGCAATACGGCGGAGGCCCGTCACTCTCCCGTTAACGCGAGCGGCACCGATCCGCCGCGCGGCGGGTGTTCCGCACCGTTTGCTATCTCCACTCACCTTTCTGTGACATTTCTTGCACGTTGTTCAGCTGCTGATGGGTTTTGTTTCCCCTTCTGTAGGAAAGAACAGGAAACAAAGTGGCTGAAAGGTTGAGATGTGGAGATGTGTTCGGCAGCGCTGTTGTATTTAGTTATTTACTCTAAATGCTTTGTGAACGAAACTCGGAAGACCCCGCTTTATGCTGTAAAAAGCACTGAGCTGTTTTCTGAACTTGTACTTGTATACGTGTCTTTTTTTAAAGAGTTTTCTCTCTCCCGCTGGCTTTTGGTTTCATGCATTTTGGGCGGCGTTTGGCGACTCTGCTTTGATTTGGAGCGCTGAACTGTTACTCCAAAACCATTGTCCTGCGGTCGACCCAGGAAGAGTGACGGAGAGGAGATACTTGTTTCAGGAAGCGCATTGCAACATGGGTTACCCTTGCGTTTTCCCTGCCAGTGGGAGCAGACGCATCTGCTTTTTCAGATCGCCAAACTTAGATTCCTGCTCTTCAATTTGCAGTATAACTAAGGACACAGAGCATCTCCCCTGCTTATCCTTCTGTATCCATATTCAGTACTTCCTTGATAAGAAAGCACCCGCTGCTAGCTGCAGAAATTTAAAAAAAGCGTACTGTTAGCATGATAATAAACGTTATTCTATATAGCGCCTATAAATGTAGCTTCTCAAAGAACATCTTGACAAAGCGTTAATGGAATTGTGGGATCACCACAATGGTGTTGTGGTACTGCAAGCCACAGGTGAGCTGGGGTCATAGTTCGACTTGGGGGGGGGATGGTAACAATGGGTCTTTCAGAGCTCCAAGCTGAGTTTGCACAGCAGCAGGAAGAACAATGCAGAGTTAAAAGGCTTTC